AGAAACTGGACTTCAAAAGATAAAAATTAATTTTTCTCCTCTGGATTGTGGGCATAGTCACATCTTGCCTTGCATCTACTTATTTATAGCTTTCCTCTCCATGTGAGGCAATGAGCGCCTTCCAGATGTTGGCTGGATAAGGCCCCTCCATACTCCTAATTTGGCTGTATTTCCCACCTCACTTCTCTGAAGAGCATCTATAATCCAGGTATACTTAGATCAGTTGACAAAGAAAATAATTAAACAGGGGAAATTATGATACAAAATAAACAAATCGGATTTCACTAGAAATGAATAGGTAAGAAATTTTAAGAATACCCATCACAATTGTAAACGGTGGTGTTTCTATTGGATTTAGAGACTCAGAAAAACCTCTCTAAAATATTAGGGACACCAAGTACAAATGTTTAAGCAATATCATAACTTTAGGACTTATAACATTGTTTACAATATATAAAATTTTAATCAGTATTAATAACCTAAAATTTAAAAAAATCTACTGAAATTGTTCGTAAATATAGAGTGACAATATATTGTTAAGATATCCAATACATTTAGATATTTTGTTATGGGAGATAACTTTTAAGGATTTAAATTGTAAGATTTTTTTTTTGTCTTGGTTCTTTGACAGAAAGTGATACATTCCTCAGTTTACCAGAGACTGTAAAACATTATCACAGACTGGATTCCACGTTTGTTTGGCAGGAATTGTACCAGTTTCTATACTTAAGAGGCCTTATGAAAATCTTGTGAAAAAACGTCCGAAATCGTGATGTTCTGAAAATGATGAAAATCCAAGGGTCCACAATTGAGATCACAGATAAAAAACGCAAGGCACGGAGGTCTCCGACTTCTTCAGAAGTTTCGTTTTCCTTGTGGACAGCTCTAAATGCTCCATAGTAAGCCTGATACTATTTTAAAGAAAAACATTCCATTATAATATCGAAAGGCTGATGCCAGCAATACATTCACTTAGTTCACTTAGGACACATTACGTTTCTCTAAGACCTTGCAGCCTGGTTTGGAATATTCTGTTTTGGTAAATTTATAAGCCACTAAGGCTGCTGCAGCATATGGGTGCAAGTGAGGAGCCGGGAAGATCCAAGGCTGACCTGGGAGGCTCAGTGTAAGTGAGGGACTCCCAAGAGATCCTGTCTAACTAAGCCCCTGGAAGCTGTTGGACCTGCTGTGAGCACTGGAGTTTCCATGTCCCTGCCAGGCCATTCAGGGAAAG